AAAAGGAACAAGTGAGAGGATGGCACTCCGTCCTACCAGCCTGGAGCATACGTATCCCCATCCCCATGATTTGCATCGCCTCATCTCGATGCCGATTTTGAAGATTCCCGTAGTTTTCGAGGGCGCATCTCTAAGGTTGTCATCGCCTCTTGGCTTGTGGATCTCAGGGATAGGCATCAGTTCGAGGCTGATTACGGTCCAGATCTTTTGGACAGCGTAGCGCTCCGCTGGGTCTGGCCCTGGCCCACCACGCTTCGGCGCGACACGCCAGCCACTTCCCAGTTCTCTGGCTTCAACGTCTCGAGCCGACGATGACGATGACGATGACGATGACGATGCCTGTTGAATGCTGAGCGCACCTTGCGCTCGTGACTATGGCATCGGGCTCGCCCCCGGCTTCAACGTCTCGAGCGGAGTGGAGCGACAAATTATCCATTCGCCAGGCATAGAGTGTCGCCGGGGCCACCGCCGCGACACGCTAGGCAAGAGTTCCCGACCTTACGGCAAGTGGACTGATTTGCGAGTGAGAAAATTACCGTGGGCGGCTGGAACGCTCGCGCTCGGTAAAAGTGCATGGCTGCAGCCCACGCCGTGTGCGGCTGGAAACGCTCGCGTTGGGTAAGCATGCGCGGCTGGAACCCACGCCGTGCGCGGCTGGAACGCTCGCGTTCGGTAAACATGCATGGCTGGAACACGCGTCGTGGGCGGATGGCACGCTCCTGCTCGGAAAAAGTGCACGGCTGGAGCCCAAGCCATGGGCGGCTGGAGCGCTCTCGATGAGCTGGGACCCACACCGTTGGCGGCTGGAACACTCGCGCTGGGTAACAGTCAGGGGCTGGAGCCGACACCGTGGGCGGCTGGAACATCTCCCATCGTAAAATAGGGGGCTGGCACCACCCCTTCTCGTCGACGTAGGCGGCTGGAGCAGTTACCCTCGTAAACGTGGAGGGCGGGAGCCTCACCCGGCGTAGGGCTTTGAGAGTATAACGGTGTCGGGGGGAAGGGGGGGGCGGGCCAGGGTTAGGAGGGAAAGAAACACACAGACACAATGAATCGGCGATTCCCCAGAAAATAGGGGAACATATGGGAAGTGGGGGGGAAGACAATTCTCCCGGCAAAGCAACCCAACAGCGATGTGCAGAAGCATATCTGGAAGCATTGCTTCGAGATTCATGTAGGAGTCCTGTTGTAGAATTCTGGTGTAGTCGCAGCCGCAGTCGCAATCGCAATGGCAGTTGCAGTGGCAACGGCAGTCGCAGTCGCAGCCTCAGCCTCAGCCTGCCTCAGCCTCAGCCTCAGCCTCAGCCTCAGTGGTGGATTCCCCATAGTCACTGGCGGCGCTGGGGGCCTCAGCCTCAGCCTCAGTGGTGCGTTCCCCATAGTCACTGGCGGCGCTGGGGGCCTCAGCCTCAGCCTCAGTGGTGCGTTCCCCATAGTCGCTGGCGGCGCTGGGGGCCTCAGCCTCAGCCTCAGTGGTGCGTTCCCCATAGTCACTGGCGGCGCTGGGGGCCTCAGCCTCAGCCTCAGTGGTGCGTTCCCCATAGTCACTGGCGGATCCGTGGATTTCCCCGGATCCTGCCCGGACCCCCCTGGGGAGTCATGATGCTTTCTTTTGAGACCACTAGAAACCTATCAGTCTTCGCTGTTAGGTAAAAAATCCGGAAAATATGGGAAGCATATAGGGAATCCTGCTATTTGTGCGTATTTATTAATCGCTTCGCTCATTCCGCCGGCCCATACAGTCTCATGTCTGCCGTTTGCCCGAGGGCCTGGTGTCAATGCGGCGCTTTGGGGGTTCCTGGGGCCGCTTGGGGGACTCCTGGGGCGCTCGGGGGGGCATTTGGGGGGCCTCCTGGGGCCGCTTGGGGGACTCTTGGGGGCCTCCTGAGGGCCTCGTGGGGGCCTCTTGGGGCCTCTTAGGGGCCTCTTGGGGCCTCGTAGGGGCTTCTTAGGGCCGAGGGCTCGAAATTTGTTTCGTGTTCCCTCTCTGGGGCCCCTTTGGGGGTGTTCTTGGGGCCCTCTTGGACCGTCTTGGAGGCTTCTTGGGCCGTCTTCGAGCCCTCTTGGGCCATCTTGGGGCCCTCTTGGGGGCCTCTTGGGCCCTCTTGGGGCGATCTTGGGGGCCTCTGGGGCCGTCTTGGGGCGTCGGGAAGCCGAAAAGGTGGAAGCTCCAAAATCTTTCAAAAACCTAAGGAAAAACAATGAATTTTGCCTCCGGGGGCCCTCTTGGGAGTGCTCTTGGAGGCCTCTTGGGGCGTCTGGGGGCTATCTTGGGCGTCTTGGAGCGATCTTGTGGCATGTCGGACCCCTCGTGTACCATCTTGGGGGCCTCTTGGGGGCCTCTTGGCCTTTCTTGGGGCTCTCGGGGACGTCTCGGAGCCCTGTTGGTGCGCTCATGGAGCGCTCCTGGAGCGCTCTGGGGGAGTCTCCCGGGGATCGGTCGGGGATCGCCCGGGGTACTTTTCGTCCGGGGACCCCCAGGTGCCGCCCCGCGCGCGCGAACTAGAGAATTGTTAACCAGTTACCGGAGATCTTAGCACGCCTCTGGCCCGTTGGGCCGGCGAATTTGTGTGTCCCAGGGCCCCTTCACGGGGGCAGGGGTCCTGGCATTGTATCCGCGCCTCGCTCCCAAACCGGGTCGGTCCGCGCGCTCGTCTGTCGGTCCGTCGGTCAGTCGGTCCGTCGGTCGTCGTCGTCGTCGTCGGTCGTCGTCGCCTCGGTCCGTCGGCCGGTCGGTCCGTCGGTCGTCGTCGGTCCTCGTCTCGGTCAGTCGGTCGGTCGGCTGGTCGATCGGTCGTCGTCGTCGGCCGTCGTCGTTTCGGTCGGTCGGTCGGTCGGGCATTCGGTCCAGTCGTCGGTCGGTCGGTCGGTCGGTCGGTCGGTCGGTCGGTCGTCGTCGTCGTTCGTCGTCGTCGTCTCGGTCGCCGGTCGTCGATCCACCGGCAGAATCCGCCCACGCCGTGGCGCGCTCTGAAAGCGCGCCACTGTGGCCAAAGCGGCTACGGATGCACTGAGGTGGAGAATGGGACGTTGGACCCAGAAATTCCCCGGACTGTTGGGGCGGGGATTGGGGGCAGCCCCATTGCCCCCCCCCCTTGGCACGAGAAAGGGATCGTTGCCACGGGCCTCCAGACCTTGCCCTCCGCACAGCATGTGGAGGGAACTGGCTCACCATTGCGTCGGACAGCTTGTACAGTCGGCCCGGATTAGTAGGTCGACCCTGCCAGCTCAAGGGTACCCTTGTGTCCTGTGCCTCGCGACACCTGCCTTCTTGCACTCCTATGGCGATGTGGCCCTCGGCAGGGTCTTGTGTCCTCTCGCGTGTCCTGTCCAATCGAGGCCGACTGTCGTCAAAGCTGGAGGGTGGTTTGCGTGCACCATAGACCTAAGACACTTGTCTGGCGACCGACTGCGCGACGCCCTGGCCCGGCCCCGCTCGCGGCCGCCCTCGCCAGGCGAACCGGACGTCGCCTCGTCTCGCCTCCGGGTAGCTGTCTCGGGGGTGGACAGACCTCCTACCCTGACACGTCGATTAAGGAATTGGCCGTTTTCGGTTCGCGAGAGGGCGTCGCGGCCGTCCTTTTTGCAGGCCCAGGTCCGTCGGGTTCGGTCCCAGGTGTCCACCGCCGACCGTCCCGTCCTCGCCGCCCCAGGGCTCGAGCCAAGCGGTTTTGGGGTGGTTTCGTGGACCGTTTTCTCGTTTTGATGTCGCTCGGCAGCGAAGGCGGAGCGAAGACAGGCACGAGGGAGGACGGAGACAAGGCGAGCACGGAGAGCATTGTTTAGCTCGAGCCCTGTTCTGTCCCTCGCTCTACCTGTCGGCTCTCCTCTCTCTCCCCTTGCTTTGCTCGCCCGCCCGCCCTCTTTCCCTTCTTCCGCCGCTGCTCCTGCTCGCTCTCTTCTGTTCGTTCGCCTTTCTCCTCCTCCTGCTCCTGCTCCTGCTCCTGCTCCTCCTCCTCGTCCTCGTCCTCGTCGTCCTCCTCCTCCTCCTCCTCCTCCTCCTCCTCCTCCTCCTCCTCCCTCCTCCTCCCCCCCTCCTCCCACCTCGTCCTCCGCCCTCCATCTCGAGCCTTCGGTCCCCTCCCCTCCCTCACTCGGGCTGGACGAGACGGGACGGGGGGGGGGAATGGGGACAAAGTGGCTTACGACATCTGATTGCTGCATGTGCAGCTGGCTTCCCGCCCCGCTGCCGGACCCATGCCGCGGGCGCTCCCCCGGGCGCCGGGAGAACCGGCCACGTGAGCTGATCTTCTTCGCTACCCTTTGCTGCCCTACCCTTTCGCCCCCCCCCAGGGTATCGGGGGCGGCCAAGAGGGGGGGGGGATGACTAGGGGGGAGATATGGCGTGGGCCGTGATATTTCCCCAGATTTCATGGCGCCGCTCTTCTTATTTCATGACGTCCCTGGCCCCCCCCCCCCTGGGCCGCCACCCGCTCTTGGACGCCCCCCTCTTGGCCGCCCCCGCGGGTAGGGAGGAGGGGGGAAGGTTTCGCAGAAGCACCCCTGCTTCTTAGAAGGCGCGGGCCCTGTGTATGGATGCAGGGCCGGCGCCCTCTGAGAAGCAGCCTGCAGGACCCAGACGTGCCCGACCCTACCCTTTGCTATTCTGCCCTTTCGCCCCTCCCTCACCCATCCCCCCCACCCTCCATCTCCAAGCCTTCGTCCGGTCCTTCCTGCACCCCTCCTCCCCAGGCGTCCTCCGTCCACGGGCTCCTCCGTTCCCCCCCTGCCCAGGGGACTCCTCCTCCTCCTCCTCCTCCTCCTCCTCCTCCTCCTCCTCCTCCTCCTCTCCGCCTCCTCCCCTACTCCTCCTCCTTTTCCTTTCTCCTCCCTCCTCCTCCTCCTCCGTCCCCTCCTCCTCCTCCTCCTCCTCCTCCTCCTCCTCCTCCTCCTCCTCCTCCTCCTCCTCCTCCTCCTCCTCCTCCTCCTCCTCCCCCTCGTCCACCTCCTCCCGCGTCCCCGTCCCTGCCTCCCCTCCCTGCTCGCCCCGCCTCGGCGAGGACGAGGACGTCCTCGACTGAGAGTTGCGCGCCGGGCCGCCGAGGTCTGCCGCGCCCCGCTGCGGCGCCAGCAGAGCCCGAAGAGAGCTGTGTGGGGGGGGCGGCTCAGGTCGAAAGCGGGTGGGGAGACAGGTGCAAAAGAAGGCCAGGGACGAGGAGGGAGAGGGTTAAGGAGGACCAGGAGAGGCAGGCGGGGGGTGCGACTGCGGGAGCAGAGGCATCGGTAAGGGACGAGCACGACGATGTCGAGGGGGAGGCAGGCGCGCCGGAAGGGCAGGGGCGAGGAAGGAGAGGGGGGGCAAGGCTCAGGAGCAGGAGGTGGAACGCGAAGGAGGAGGAGAAGGAGGAGCGACAGGCGAGGGGCGAGGACGTGAAGGTAGAGGGAGGGCCAGGGAGGGGGCGGCTGTCGGCCACGCCGAGATAACCACCGCGCTCGCCACGGCCTCCGCGTGCTCCATCCACGTGGCCTCTCCGCCAGCCTGGGCGAGCGCCTCGAGAACGGGGGAGATCGGGGACGGTGCGGGGAGGAGCGCCAATCGGGCCCTCGCCATGATAACGCGACGGGTGACCTTGGTGCCCAGCCTCGTGAGGAAGCGCACCTCCAGGAAGGCGCGGACGTGCCCGCCTGGCCCCAAGGACACCGGGCCAGTGGATCCCGTCAGCAGCGCCTTCGCGACGTCGTAATAAACCTGGTTCAGCCGGGCGCGCACCGCCGACCAGCCCAAAGCGCAACTCGCCAGAAGCTCGGCGCCGTAGAGGGCCGAGGCCTCCACCCGCGCCGGAAGGTGGCCCGCCTGCACGGGCAGCCCGAACTCCCAGTCCGTCATGCTCGCGAAGAGCTTCTTCGCGCCGTCGCGAAGCCGCGCGCAGGCCCGGTCCAGCAGGAGGACGAGGGTGAGCTGAGCATCGATCGGCACGCCAAGGCATGACAGGGAGGTCGCGGCGCGGACGTCCAAGCCTGCAACCTGGCCGCACGTCTCGAAATCCGGCGGGGGGTCGCCTACCACCATCACCGCTGGCCCCTTGGTGGGCCCGCCCCGGAAGGCGTGGCGGTACCGCGCGCAGAAGGCCGAGAGCCATCTAGCCACTGCGGCAACGCCTTCCTCCGACGCCTGCAGCGCGAACGAGTCGTCAACAAATTGGAGCAACAAGAAGCAAAAGGCGGCGGCCCGCGGGCCTGGCGGGCCCAAGGGAACTGGCGCGGCCGACGCTGCGCAGCAATCGAGGAGTCCGCGGATGAGGGCCCCGAAGAGGTGGACGCCCGCGCGGCGGCCCTGGCCGACACCGAATTCCAGGAGGGCCATGGGGGGAGCGACGAGGGGCCCAATGAGCACCCGGACGCTCTCGGCACCGAGCGAAGCATCGGCCGCCAGCCACCATCGGCCCACTAAGCCCGCCGCTCGGAGCTGGACCCGCACCGCGTCCCGCCACGTCAAATCGAAGCCGTGCTGCAGGTCAGCTTGCAAGACCAGCGTGCGGAGGCCAGCGCGGCGGCGCAGCTGCAACGCCAGAAAGACGCCAATGGTCATGAGCACCGCGTCGTAGCGCCCTCCTGCCTGCTGGTCCCCCGCGAACTGCTCCAGGCGCGGCCGAACAGCGCCCAACCACGCCCCGTCGTAGAGCGCCTCCAAGTCGTCGACATAAGATGCCGGGCGAATGTTCGCCAGGTCGGAGGAGGAGAAGGAGGAGGAGGAGGAAGAGGAGGAGGAGGAGGAGGAAGAGGAGGAGGGGGAGGATGATGATGATGATGATGATGAGGGGAGGAGGAGGAGGAGGAGAGGAGTTGAGGAGGGAGGAGGAGGAGGAGGGGATGAGGAGGAGGAGAGGAAGAGGATGAGGATAGGCGGATGAGGAGGAGGAGGGAGAGGAGGAGGAGGAGAGGAGGGGGAGGAGGGTGAGGAGATGGGGAGGAGGAGGAGGAGGAGGGGAGGAGGAGAGGAGGAGGAGGAGGAGGAGGAGGAGGAGGAGGAGGAGGAGAGGAGGAGGAGAGGAGGAGGAGGAGGGGGGGGAGGAGGAGGAGGAGGAGGAGGAGGAGAGGAGGAGGAGGAGGAGGAGGAGGAGGAGGAGGAGAGGAGGAGGAGGGAGGAGGAGGAGGAGGGAGGAGGAGGAGGAGGAGGAGGAGGAGGAGGAGGGGAGGAGGAGGAGGAGGAGGAGGAGGGAGGAGAGGAGGAGAGGAGGAGGAGGAGAGGAGATGGAGGAGGAGGAGGAGGAGGAGGAGGGGAGGAGGAGGAGGAGGAGGGGGAGGGGGAGGTGGAGGAGGAGGAGGAGGAGGAGGAGGGCCCGGAGCTTGTGTGCTTGCAGGTTTCGCGGGGCAGCGCAAGCTGCCGACGGGGGGGCCCGGGCACGGGGAGCAGGAGCAGGCCGTCCCACGCAGCACAGCGCAAGCCCCTGCCGAGGAGCACCCTACTCGCCTCCAGGGCGCTCTGGGCTTCCTGGGTTTCGACGGTTGTGCGATGGACAGCGTGACGTGTCCCCTCCAAGAAGAATGAGCGGACGCCCCGGGGTCTCAGGGTGTTGGGTCTCTTGTGGGCGGATTCCTGCGGAGAGGCCCCCACTGCACCCGATTCCCACCTCTGGCAGGTCCCGAAAAAGGGATCGGCGACGTGCGGACGGGCTCACGAGGATTGGGTCGGGCATGTCCTCCTGCAGGCGGATTTCGGACGAAACCAAAAAATACCTTGAACATATCGTCCCCAGACTACTCTTTGACTAGTTTTGAATATCCCCCCGTGTAGAGGGACAGGCCCGACTTCACGCGAGGAGGCGGCCTCAACTCCTCACACCTCTGGAAACCCTCTCCCAGAAACCGACGGCACAGCCTCCTGGCAGAAGACGCGCACTGGCAGCGCTGCGGCGCCGCGGCCCGACGAGCCTGAACCAGAGCACGGCGGCGCCGTTACGAAACCCCGCGGTCGGATGCATTGAGACGGGGGTCAATTCCAATGGGGGTCAGCTAGGGCACCGGATACTGCAGGATCCTGCGAAGACCCCCTCTGGCTGACACGGGTTAGCGAGCCGCGAGGCGGCCGCGCACATTGGCTGACCTGGGTTTGCAAAGCCCTGCGTTGCAGCTTTTTTTTCCTGCTGACCCGGGTCTGGATTGACCCGGGTCAGAAGATCTTTCACGCGGGCCTGTCCCGAGTGCCCCTGTATCAAAGTACGCTGGCGCCGTTACGACACGTGGCCGGCTTGGCTCCATGGGATCTGGAGCCACAAGAAAAGGTGTCGGGACGTGCGGTAATCAGCCTCCAGGGCCAGATGAAAGCGAAGCCCCTCCATACAAAGACGATGCCGCTCATTGTTAAGGTGGTGCAGGCCAAGCCAAATCCAAGGATGATGACGCTGTTTGTGTAGATGATGCTTCTGACATTGAGCCCAATGCCCCCGTAGCACACAATGATGCCGTCGCCCGCCATGGCACCCCCTACGTCCCCTCCAGACGCGCCAAGAGCCTGGCCGCGTCCTTCTCCGAGGCACCGCGCGGAGCCGCGCCGTACTCGCGCACCGCCCTGACGTGGGTCATGCACGCGATGGCCGCATCCTCGAGCGGCTCGTGGCCGGCGCCCACGGCCCGCGTCGGGCTCGAGGAGCTCGGGCCCCCCCCCGTCCTTCCTGCGAGTGGGCCTCGCGCCGCACGCCCGCACCTGGCCGGCTGTGCCGAAGGCGCGTCGGGCGACGCCGCGGCCCTCCCTTCCGGTGCTCCTCCACGGCCGAGCGGCACGTCCTGCCGCGCGGCTGCGTCGCCGCCGCCGGGCCGGAGCATCGCCGCCCGCGCCAGGACCGTCGGCGGGCCCGTGCCCTGCGCGGTGCTCTCTCGCCTGCGCCGCGGCGCCTCCGCGCGGCAGGCTCGCCCAGCGCGCCTGGCCGCCACGGCGACCGAGGCCGCGGTAGGCACGGGCCGCGCGGGGGAAGACGACGCCGCACGCGTGCCTGGAGCTCCGCGGCGCTGCTCGGCGAGGGGCGCGCGGGGATGCCCACGAGCGCCTCCAGCAACGCTTGCCCGCCTCTTGGGGCCCTCGCGGGAGGCTCTTGGGGCGCTTCGGGCCGTTCCTGGGGCCGTCTTGTGGTCGTCTCGTGGCCCTCTTGGGGCCCTCTTGGGGCTCTCTTGGGACATTCTTGGGGGCCGTGGATGGCCTCTTGAGGCCATCTTGGAAGCCATCGATCAAAGGGGGGGGGATCCCCGATTCCGCGCCGTAAGAGCCCTCGACATCGCCTCTTGGGGCCATCTTGGGGCGCTCTTGGGCCGCTCTTGGGCGCTCTTGGGGCCGTCTGGGGGGCCTTTTGAGCTCCTCTCGGAGCTCTCTTGGGTCATATTGGGGCAATCTCGAGGCCTCAAAACCACACTGGAAGCGAAACTACTAGAAGCAATCATCATTGATTTTCTTTTCTGGCTTGTGACTGATTTTGGCTTCTTGGGGGGGGTCCTGAACGGGACTCCAAGAGTACTTGTAACCGCCTTGTGGCCCTCGTCGGGCCTCTTGGCGTGAACACGATTCGGCTATCTTGAGCCGCCTTGGAGGCCTTCTGAAAGCATCGGAGGCCTTCCTGGAGACAGATTGGGTGAAAGAGGACCTTCTGACACATCGCGGCACCCGCCCAAAAATCCTCAGGAAGGGGAGGGGGAGGGTATCCCTCCCCGCAGGGAAAAGGTTTTTGGAAGAGGAAAGAATGAAGTCACTAGACCACCTTAGCCCACAAGGCTGGTGGGTTATCTCTCCCCAAGTTTCCTCTGTATCTCATCTCCCCAGTCTCACCGGGCCTGTCTCATCTCTAGTGTCCCCCTTCTCCGCCCTAGAAAGGCTCAATGCGGGTACTATTATCTTGTGTCCCCTGGCTGCGTTCGATTCCCGGCCCGTCTCTTCCACTTTTCTTTTACTGGTCCTGTTTATTATTGTCTCACCTCCTTCCCGCTGTCTCTGTCTCTCACCTTTGTTTCCCCCTCGTGTGCCGCACCTGCAGGCGGCCTCACGTACAGAAACTGTTTCAACTTGGCGCCGTCCATCCTGTTGGAATTGTCACAGCGCCAGCGCCCTCGCTGTCATCACATTCGTCGATGTTGCCGCGCTCACCGAGGCAGTTGTCATCAGTCTGTGTCTTTGCCTTGAACTGCTTTCATTGTACCCAGCAGCAGCACGGCCGAACACAGCCTTTCAACATGTTCAGCGACGCAGTCGTTTGTCATTGCCGCTCGTCATCGCTCCGTCCGTGCCCTCGGAGTTGTGCTGGCAGTGTCTCCGCCATGGCTGGTTCCGAGTGCTTTCTCAACGGTCCCCCGTGCCCTTACTGACACACTGATACACCTCCCTTTCATCCATCTCCTCTTCCTCCTCCTCCCGATGTACTTGCGCTGATGCTGATGCTGCTCCTCCTCCTCCTCCTCCCGTCCCTCCTCCCTTTCCTCCTCCCTCGCCCCGTCCAACATATGCTAGTCCCCCCATTTCCCCACGCCCCTCCTCATCTACCCTTTGTTTATGACACGTCACGGATGCTACTATTACGACGATGACGACGACGACGACGACTACCACCACTACTACTACTACTACTACTACTACTACTACTACTACTACTACTACTACTACTACTACTACTACTACTACTACTACTACTACTACTAATACTACTCTACTACTACTACTACTACTACTGTACTACATTATGTGGTTATTTTTTAACTTTTAAAATTTATAATACTACTACTACTATTACTACTACTACTACTACTACTACTACTACTACTACTACTACTACACTACTACTACTACTACTACTACTACTACTACTACTACTACACTACTACTACTTAGACTACTACTACTACTACTAACTATACTACTACTACTACTACTACTACTACTACTACTACTACCGACTACTACTATACTACCTACTACTACTACTACTACTACTACTACTACTACTACTACTACTACTACTACTACTACTACTACTACTACTACTACTACTACTACTACTACTTACTACTACTACTACTACTGACTACTACTACTACTACTACTACTACTACTACTACTACTACTACTACTACTACTACTACTACTACTACTACTACTACTACTACTACTACCACTACTACTACCACTACTAGTACTACTACTAGGGTCACACTTGATTAATGTACAAGGAGGTTCGGGTTTGGGCTTGGGTTTGGCTTTGGCTTCAATAGGGAGCCTTCTTATTGAAATTCACTAGGAACTGAGATGATAGAAAGATCTCCCAGGAATTTACCAGAAATTCAATTATAATACAATGAAGTTCAATAAGAACTCAATAAGAATCAAAAATGCCTTCCTAGCAACGTTCAATCGGAATCCAACGAATTCTTCGAAAAATCATGGGAACCCAAGAGGAAACCACAGAGCCGGCCGCAGGCGAAGTGTGAAATACACCATTCCCGAATGAGGTTTTCATAAACTGATATTGAGGGCCCAGCCGAAGGACTGGCCATTAATGCGCGGACACTACTGCTGAGCTCTGCTGACCCTTGCGCAGCCCCGTGAAGCCCTGCAAGGCTCTGCTACAGTCTGCCAAGCCCTGCTAAATCCTGCTGACACCTGCTGAGCTCAGGTAAGCCCTGCTACAAGCGCTGGCAAGCCCTGGTAAGCCCTCGTACGCCCTGCTGGGCCCTTCGAAGCCCTGCTGGGCTCTGCTAGGCCTTGCAAGCTCTGGTAAGCCATGCTTCGTCCACTAACCTCTGCTAAGCTCTGCTAAACAGGGCGAAGCCCTGCTGGCCCTTGGTAGGTTGTGCGTGGTGTGTTGTGTCTGGTGCGTTGTGTGTTGTGTGTAGTATTGTGTGTTGTGTGTGGTGTGTTGTGATGGGTATGTTCTGTGTGGTGTGTTGTGTGAAGTGTGTGTGTGTGTGTGTGTGCGCTGTGTGTTGTGCGTTGTGTGTGTTGTGTGTGTGTTGTGTGTGTTGTGTGTTGTGTGTTGTGTGTTGTGTGTGTTGCGTGTTGTGTGTTGTGTGTTGTATTTTGTTGCGTGTCTTGTGTGTTGTGTGTCGTGTGTGTGTGTGTGGGTGTGTTGGGTGTGGTGTGTGCTGTGTGTTGTGCGTTGTGTGTTGTGCGTGTTGTGTGTGGTGTGTGTGCTTTGTGTGTGTGTTGTGTGTTGTGTGCGTTGTGTGTTGCGCGCGTTGTGTGTGTGTTGCGTGTATTGTGTGTTGCGTGCGTTGTGTGATGTTTGTCTTGTGTGTGGTGTTGTGTGTGTTGTGTGTGATGTATGGTGTGCTGTGTTTGTTGTGTGGGGTGTGTGTGTGTTGCTGGGTGTGTTGTTTGTGTTGTGTGTTGTGCGCGTTGTGTGTGTGTGTGTGTGTTGTCTGCGTTCTGTGTGTGGTTTGGGGGGGTCATGTTCCTGGCGCCGCCCAGGCCGTTCCTCGCGGCGCTCCTCGGAGTCCTCGGAGCCCCTACGGGCCTACGGGAGCTCTCAAACGACTTCTACGACTACTACGACTACTACGACTACTACGACTACCACTACTACTACTATTACTACTACTACTACTACTACTACTACTACTACTACTACTACTACTACTACTACTACTACTACTACTACTACTACTATACTACTACTACTACTACTACTACTAACTACTACTACTACTACTACTACTACTAACTACTACACCACTACTACTACTAACTGCGCTTCTACTACTACTACTACACCACCACTACTACTACTATTACTACAAACAACTTACAACTTACAACATACTACTTCACCTACTACTACTACTACTACTACTACTAACTACTACTACTACTACAATTACTACTTGCTCACTACTACTACTACTGCTACTACTACCTACTACTAAACGAATACGACTACTACTACTACGACACGACTGCAGCTACTACTACACTAACAACTACTAACTACTACTACAACTACTACTACTACGAACTACTACTACTACTACTACTAACTACTACTACAACTACTACTACTATTACTACTACTACCACTACGACTGACTACTACTGACTAACTACTAACTACTACTACGACTACTACTACACTACTACTACGACTAACTACTACTAACAACAACTACGTAAATCTACTACTACTGCTAGCTGCTGCTCTGCTGCTGCTGCTTAACTACTACTACGACTAACTACTAACTACTACTAACTACTACTACTACTCTGCGGCAGCGGCTAGCTGCCACTGCTACTGCTACTGCTAACTACTAACTACTACTACTACTAACTACTATTATTACAACTACTACTACGGCTACTATACTACTAACTGCTACAACTACTACTACTACTACTACTAACTTCAACTACTACTACACTAACTACTACTACTACTACGAAAACTACTACGAATACTACTACGAACACTGCTACTACCACTACTGCGACGACTACTAGCGCTACTACTCCCACTACGACTACTACGAGGATCCCCAGCACTACGATTCGTGGTGTCGCTGCTACTGCTACTGCTACTGTTACTGCTACTAGTGCGACCACTACTACGACTATTGCTACTACAACTACTACTACAACAACAACAACTACTACTACTGCTACTACCACTACTACTACTACTACTACTACTACTACTACTACGACTACTACTACTACTACTACTACTACTACTACTGCTATTACTACCGCTACTACTACTACGCCTACTGACTACGACTACTACTCGGATTACTAATACGATTGCTACTACTACTGCTACCACCACCGCTACTACTACTACTACTACTACTATCACTACTACCACTACTACTACTACTACTGCTACTACTACCACTACTACTACTACTACCACCACTACTACTAATATTACTACTATTACTACTGCTACTACTACTACTACTACTGCTACTACTACTACTACTACTACTACTACGACTACGACTACGACTACGACTG